TAAATTTCTTTAAAAAATAATTGAAGTTTTTTTCATATTTTTATTAATTTTATTTTAATTTATTTAGTTATTACAATTCTTAGTCAAATTATATTCAATTCGAATATATAAAATATATCTATATACAAATTTAAATTTTATTTAATATACATTTCAAGTTTTAAAATTGAATTCAATACTACTACAATAAAGTAAAAGTAGTTTTGTTATGTTTATTACAGGTTTTTGGAAGTTTTTTGTTTAAAACCTTAAATGTTATCTACAATTTTTTGAATAGATCTAAAGGTTGATTTAATACTTCGAAGCTATTTATGTTTGAGAAAACTAGTAGACTTTTTCAATACAATTAAATAGCTAAAACATAAAATTAATAAGAGTACATTTATTCTTTATTCTGGGTAAAATCTTACATCCCTAAATTCATCAATAAATTTGCTAAATTATATATAATATATGTATAACAAAACAAATAATTTTTTTAAAAAAATGCCAATATTTCAAATTTTTGTTTATAAAACCACCTTTTGGACTCTAAATAAAAAAATTTTTTGCTAAATTTGATATATAATTCCTAACTCTAAATAAGTAAGTGAAAAATTTATCTGGATAATAAATAAATTATTTCAATTAATAAATAGATTTATTTAAGAAATAATTTCTTTGACACCTAGGTGGGTTACTCATTCTGAATAAGCAATAAATATACTTTATTTAAATATAAAAATATAATGATAAAAGGTTTTTTATACCTTATAAAGAGTTTTTTTGTATTTATAAGTTTATTATCTTTAGTATTTAATTTCTTATTTTTTATATTTTAGTTTTTTGATTGATAATTAAATTGGCTTGAAATAATCAATTAAGATAATATTTAAGTAGTAAATTATTTTTGAAGGATAGAAAAAATAAATAAATAAAATTGAAAATTTATATTTTTTCTATAATATAAAAATGGACTCACTTATATATAAATATATTTTTTATTAAGTAACTTTCTTTTAGTTTATAATAGTAGTAATCAGTGTTTGAAATTAGTGTTCTCAGAGTTTTCATAAGAACATGAATTTAAGTTTGTAAATAGTAAAAATTTTTTACTATTCACTACGAAAAATTTTTTGAGAACAGTAAAATAAAAATAATGTTTTTATAAATTAGTATATACTGTAAATAGATTAAATAAGATATAATATAGTTATCCTCTGATAAAATTATATAGTTGGGTATATAGTAATTTTTTTATATAGTATGATAATATAGAAAGAAACTATATAAAAGGATAACTGTAGAAGTTAATTAAGTTGTCTTCTTTTTTTTTTTTAATGAACATAACTATAGTTTAAGAACATTTATAGCTATTTTTCTGTTCTTATAAGAACAGTCATTTGAGTCTGAAATTTCAACATTGGTAGTAATATCATCAAAATCAGTTGGATAAAGCATGAGATATACCGTAAACCTCAGAATATAAGCACATATTTTTTAATTAATGGATGTGCTTATTTACTGGTTATTTGAAAATTGATAATATGCTAATTTAGTGATTGATCTGATTACTAACTAACAAAATATTTGGGTAATATATAAATAGCTTTGTTAAGATCTTTGCATTATTGATAATTAATCATGCCCAAAGAAAAAAGAAACAGTTATTCTGTCACTTTCAAACTTGATGTTATCAAATATACCAAAACAACTAACAACATTAAAGCAGCACGTCAATATAATATTAATCATATGATGGTTTTACGTTAGCGTAAACAGGAAAAAAAATTTAAAGCAGCAAGAAGTTCTAAATAACGAGTAGGTTCAGGACATAAACCAGCATATCCTCTTGCAGAAGATGCATTAAAATGCTGAATTGATGAACTATGCAATGAAGGAATCGCTGTATTGCCTACTACTGTGAAATTTAAAATGCAAAGTTTACTTGCAACTGATTTTATTCAACATTATTCAAATGCATTTGAAACTTTTAAGCCTTTTATAACTGGTTTTACGGCTTTATGAATCGTTATGATCTTTCTTTTTGTTGTCAAACAAAGATTAAACAAAAGTTACCCCAAT